AAAGTCAGTTGCTCGCTGTTTCACTTGCGAGGGGTGGCAAGAATGAGATCATCATGACGCATTGCTATTTAGAATCATTGGATTCTTTCAAACAAGTTGCGTGTTTCCTCATGAACGTTTGCTGCACACAACTTTAAACAACCATTAAATAGCAGAATGAACTAGCTACAAATGACAGAATGACTGTCTGTTGATAGCTACAAACTCCGCACAACTCAGGCTGCCACCTTCTGCTTCCTTTCGCACTACGTCCAAACCTGAATCGATCAGTTCCGCTCCCTCCGTATAATGTCCCTTCGCCTCAATTCAGTATGTTCGACTCTATTGACCCACATGATTCAACGCACATTTTGTACATGGTTTCTTTTGAGAGCGGGTGTGCTTTGAAAAGCACACCCCAATTCAAACTCTATCAAAAGCACTGTAAATACAACGAAAAATTTCAACATTTTTTGGGAGCAGGGCGAAACGTATATGTTTCTATTTTCCCGTCCCCAATTTCCATTATATGCGACGTCAACGACAAAAATTAATCCATAGCTCTTCATCTGCACAACAATACCAATGTGTAATACCAATCAACAGTAAGTGTTAGCATTTTACCTTTTTCTGCCCAATATGAACGAATGTACTGTTACAAGGACTGTACTTAACTATATGTAAATGTCAATGATACCACTATAGTCTCTTGCTTACTTGACTTTTGATGATGTAAGTTTAGGTGCTCCTTTTGCAAACAAAAAAGTCCCTCAAAAGAGTGTCAAAAGGGCACCAGTTTTATTGGTTGTAGTGATCTGCATTCACCTCTGTTCATCTGTCTCACTATCTACCAAAGCTTTCCGCCATTGAAAGGCCTTTCCACACAAATCATGGCAGCAAACGCTTTTGGCAATGTGAGCTTCCAAAATGCCCTAAGTGTGACCTATTCGTTGAAATTGGTCAATTTGGACAAGGGCCCGCAATTCCTGGAGTCTCATTTGCACAGCGGCCACATACACGCTGCTGACTTGCTCGTGAAAAGTCTGTATTTTAGAGCCCCCTCCGTGAAGCACTAGGTAGAGATCATCAATGACGTGCAAGTGGAAAACCTATCCCACGAGCACGAGCAGCTCAGGCAAATAAAGAGATTCCATGTCCTACCAAAACCGTTCGGATTCAAATCAGCTCCTCAAATGTCAGCAAAGGTCACCTGGGTTCTCTTCACACGGGAGGATGGAAAGAAGCTTCTGCTCAAAGACATCAACCTACACAAGAAGGTAAAGCGTCATTAAATCCATATCCCATGGTAATAAGCTCTATGTATTGACTTGGGAGGGTAACCTCAAGAACGTCGTGGAAGCAAAATCCAGAACATGCAAGGTTGGAAGGGGAGGCTCTATGTGCGTGACTCAAGCTTTAAGGCAAAAGCTCTGAAGCGTTCAACTTCCATGAGCAAGATGCGAACGCTTTAGTATTGTGGCTTTGGTTTCATTGAGCAAGAAGGGCCCAGGGAGAATGTAAAGAACCCGCAGCTTTGATGGATCACCAAGCAGCTGAACAACCCCAAAAGACCCACCTACAAGTGGCCAGAATGTCTTCTTGCAAATGACGGTGTACTGTCACTGACTTTCAGTTCACCCTACCTGCTGCGCCCCTCAAAAGCATTAACATACTTCGCCTTTGTACGGAGCAGTCTCTTAGGTTTCACGGCGCAGCTGGTTTTGGCCAGACACCTTTGGCCCACATCATTTTGCGTGGCCTTCTCCAGGTATTAAAGCACAGGGTTCCGCGCAGCTAGCGAATTTGCAAAGCACAGGGTTCCGCGCAGCTAGCGAATTTGCCTTTTCCAAGGCCAAGTGGGCCGGCCGTCTGACAAGGCCAGATTTGTTGGATCAAATGGTCAAGAAGCTGAAAGCCTTTGCTAATGTGGCTTGGAAGAAGCCATGACCAAAGAAAGGCACCGCATGATACACGGCCACGTGTCTTCAAGCGCTTGGCTTCTCAACTCTTCCATGAACCCATCGATTTGGACAGCCAAGCAAATCAAAACTAAAATTTCTTCGAGACAATCCAACGCAACATGCTTGCTCAGCACTACGGTCAACAATGTGATCCAGCATCTGAAGAACATCCCCTGCCTGATCACGAGCAAGAGGATGAATGAGAACCTGCATATGGTACTTGCATATGGTGCATATCCTCTGCGCTGAAATTCCTTTGCCTGACCATGAGCAACACGAGCAATGTGGTGGTGCATCTCATGGACACGATGGTAACCAGTGTGACTACGCATCTCCTGTACCTGGCCCTTATGATCATGAAAGGCCGCGTTTGCTGTGCTTTGTCCTTCTGACCAGCAGTGTGATGAAAAGTCCGCAACTAATCTATGTTCCACTGACCGGACCTACTTTTCAGCGTCGCAGTGGCGATCTCCTCAACATGGTGGTCGTGGAGCCTTTGTTCATCAACTCCAAGGCAGGCTTCACCATCCGATACTGGACTTGAAATATCACGCTGCTCGTCTTCTTTTCCATTGTGCTACCACTGCCCAAGGCTTGGAGCGGCGCTATCAGACCAACCTTCTTCGATGGGTCTGACGAGAAAATGGGATGGGAAAGAAACTTGAGGAAATCGCATTGCAATGCTCTTTTCTACTAGATGGCCGCCACTGAGTGGGAAAAGATTGGCATTCACACTAGCCTTGCCAGTGGAAACGAGCTCAGCGAAGATACTCTGAAACAGCATGATCAATTCTGTCACGAGAATCTGTTCCCTCCATCTCGTCGGACTCGTCAGAACAAAGTCGAAAGTTCTTGCGAAGTGTTTTGGTAACAAGGTTGCCAGTTCTCGTTCAGGACGCCCCTAGTAAAGATGGAATACAAAAGAAGGGCACAACCACGGATGGTTCATGGTCGGATGGCTCATTGTCATTGACCCGTGTACCTTTCGCATCCTGACAATTGAGAGGTTGGAGAAGGGCGAGAACAACGAAGTGGTCTCCAAGTCTGTCAAGAAGGTCCTTCCACTTTAACCCCAAGGTCGACCTCCTCACACTCGATCGCTGCTGCCACTATACAAGCCCTCGGCTATCAACGACCCGGACCTTACGCAAATCAAGTGCGACATGTTCCACACATACCGCCACAAAAGCACATGTCCTTGCAACCCATTGACCAAGAAGAGCCTCATGAAAAGAGTAGACTCTACCAATACCTTGTGGCAGAGCAAACCTTCGCATGGTTCAGGGGCTATGCCTATGCCAATGTCTTGAACGACATGCGCTCTCTCCGTCATAGGTTTGCAGCGCTTCTCTTCTGCGCTTGGCACAATGACCTGATCCTTGCCGGGAAGATGGGGCGCTTGAATCAGTTCAAGTCGAAGAGGCAATCCCGCAAGACCTCCAGGCCATACTCTTAGCAGCCTAAAATGCAAGGCCAAGGGGTATCAACGCGTGCGAATTTTGAAGACCATGAAGGCAATAAAGTGACAGCTGCCATGTGTGAGAGCGTCCAAATGTTGAACGTAGAAGTATATCGCGAATCTGTCGGAAGCACGGTCGCAGTACTCGGCAAAGCCATCCATCGTACAAATCCAGAAAACTAATCAACCGTGCAAGGAAAGGAATATACTAAATAGATATTTATACTAAATAAATACTATATATACAACTTACCAAGAGTGTCTGCTGAGCGACAAAGCTTTAGAGCAAATAAAGAAATACAAAACTACAAAGCACAAAAACAACATACCCAAAAAAAATCAAAAACGCAATATTTAAGACAAAATGAAGGCAACACCAAATAATACCTCCATTTTGTCAAACATCGTGGTTTTTTGTTTGTTGTTGGTTTTGTTTTTGGTATCCCCTCTAAGCCTTATAGGCCTGGTCTGAACAAAATGAAACAACAAAAATTGTTCAAAACCTACGTTTTGGTGATGTTTCAGCCAAAAACACGATAAAACACCGTGTGTTTTCACATGTTCTGTGCGAAAACATCTCCCGTCTTTCGTGTTCAAGAAAAGTTTTTCATGTCCCATCCCAGCATGCCAATCAAAAAACGAAAGGATTCCACGGCGGCAACACATTCAAGCCACCCAGTTGTTGCCCGCGCCCGTCTGGCCGAAGACAAAGTTGTCCGGACGAAAAAGTTGTCCGAATGGCCCAGCACGAACGCTGTCCATGGTTCCTGGCACACCATGCCACAGCAGAACTACGGTTGCTAACTGTGTTTGGTGCACAAACACAAACGCAGATCTTCATAATTTGTTAAACTAGTTAACAACAGAATGACAATTTGTTAGGCACAGCCCCTGAACACCCACCCTGACACTGCAGAAAAGAGTCCAGGCTCCAAATCCATCAAGACTGCACGGGGCACGTAGCGCCCTCCCGTGGCTTCGTTGAAATAGACATTGATGCGTTCCTGACCGAAAATGTTTGCCGACTGTGAGGGCGAAGCCGAACGTCTTTCGCCGAAAAGGAGGCGTAAAAAAACATCGCGCACCATCGCCCACTCCAAAGAGGTGCCTGGCGGCACCCGTTGAAATTGGTCCAGGAGAGGAAGATCGAAAAAACATGAGGCGCGGAAGTCATGGAAAGGACCACCACGGCAAAAGGACCTTCTGCGGTCTGGTTCCAGAGGTCAAACAGGTCGAAAAGGAAGCATGGCCTTGAGAAATAAAAGAAAGAGCCAGTTCGATTGTCAAGCAGAGCGCAAACATTTTTCTCTGTGTTCAAAACACACGTTTCCACGGATCAGGAAGGCTGTGACCATTGTCTTGTGAGGAGCATCTGATCTAGGCGCATCGAAAAACTATATATAGCCAAACGAACAGCACTGGAAACAAATAGCTATGGCCTCCATCCTAATAAAAATGGTCTCCAAGCACCTTGCACAAATAAATATCTATATATATATATATGCGCAGATCAAACAAACAACGAACATGGACGCACAGCCCATGTGTGCATTGCAAGCTCTGTGTGCGAGGTTTTTTGTTATAACTTTTCCATCCAAGACTTGAGCTGTTCAAAAGCAACCGTGGTGGGTGGATCTTGAACACACGGAATCCAATACCCCGTACTGCTTTTTCTGGCAGATCAACTCAAAAAACACTCACAACGCGCAACCAGCTGCCTGACTAAAATTTTTCTGGGCTCATCAAAATGAGCGCGCCTGCAAAACTAATCCGCAATCCTGCTAAGATTCCTGTAGTCATACCCGAACAATCCTTAATCTGCAGGAGTCCGTAATCCTTCCCCAGCCTTATAATCCGTAATCCTTATAAGCCGTAGAAAGGAAAGAATCCAAATTCCTGAGTGTAGGGATCCTCACAGACCCGATTTGGAAGCAACCAACTCAAACCACAGAATTGGGGGCTCGGGATTGTGAAGGGTGCCTGTGCCCATTAGGAATCCTCACAGCCCCGATTTGAAAGCAACCAACTCAAACCACTGAGCTCGGGGTTCTGGCTTGTGAAGGGTGTTTGTAGTCATAGGATCCTCACAACCATCGCGCGAGCTGGGAGTAGTGGAGCCGAAGGTGCTCCAGGATCAAAGTTGTTTCACCGCAACCCAAAATTCTATTCCGTAATCCTAGTCTCAAAACGGGGGCTCTGAGTTCGAATCCGAAATCCGCCCCAAACCGGACAATCCGATAGTTTGTAATCCGTAATCCCCCTTGGGATTAAGGATTACGTTTGATGAGGCCAGTTTGGATTATTCTGGACTGTGAACAGGAAACCCAAGCCGAGGGTTGGCACTAAAACACGTTCAAAATCGTTCAAACATCCTTGTCTACTCCATAAGCACCTGGTGGCTGCATGCAGAACGGATGGAAAAGGAGATTCCAAAATATCGTACGGACGGGAAGCCATACTTCGGGTTCCTCAAGTTGAATTTGCTGCGATAAACGCAGTGCATTCATGTGCATTCAAGTAACATACTGCATCATCTCCAGTCCCAAAAAAAGAAACATGTTGCTGAGACTCTCTGGGCCCTAGTTTTCTGTCTCCTTGAAACTCCCAAGTCGAATGCTTTTGCCTGCCATGCCAACGCCTTGCCAATGATATTTACCAATGGCAATGTTGCGAGGATGGCGGCCGCTAAGACAATTGTGAAAATACAAGCAATGTTGCGAAATGATGTCAATATATGTCAATGCTGAGCACACACGATGATACTTTGAACTGATGACCCTCCAACTGCCTGACCCAATGATGAAACCGTTGCAACGGCGATGATAATGCTGTGAAAAAACAATGGCCATATTGCGCTCGCGATAATGATGGTGTGAAAACAATGACTGAACATGATGCTGTGAAGTTGATGACAAGAGAGGAGTGAACAGCCATAAACAACGCTCGAACCACGTCCAAGTGCGCCAAAAAAATGCAAAAGTTAAAGCGCAAAAAGGTAGTCCGGTGTTCAGCCCGCCAGCAAAAACATGCCGCAGCCAAAACGGTGAAAAACAAGTTCGATCGTCCCAAAAGGATGCCTGGAAGGTTCGAGTGCCAATGCTCTTCACGTCACAAAGATTAAAAAAGGCCCGGCCTCATGTCGGCGCAGATCTAAGCCACGTCAACTAGAAAGCTATCACAAAAAGCACGGAGTTGTTCCTCCATGCCACATGAATGCCAAATGATCATTATACTATGTACACTTGTTGTAATCCCGAGTACCTAATTTAAAAGCCTCCCCAGTTAAAAAAACACCACGCCCGAAGCCCTAAGTTCGGCTTATATATGTTGTTAAAAATTACCGCCCTTTCAAGCCGCTACTAAGCTACCAGCATGGTCGATTTTGGGGGTAGTTTCTTTTACGCGTGTGGATACTAATCTGGTCAACGGGAAGTATGAGTAGACTATCCTCTCACTTGTAGTCAGCAATGGCGCGCACTTCTTTTCCGCTTGAACTACGGGAGTCTTGAGCCAAAGAGTTGGCGTGACATGCTAATGTATGCTGTACACGCATGGGCTATGCCAGGGTACGCTATCGTCCCACTGCTATTGACACCCCCCATGTGACTGATGCTATCAGCAATGGTCACACTTGTAATTCAAGGGTAGTGGACTCTGTACAGTGGTTCGCTATATTGTGCCGCGAGACCTAACGATGTAGACTCTGACTACACATCACTATTGAAACTAAGCGGTCTTTTACATATATACAGCGTGCGCCTTGTTCATTTGGCTAATCAAATCTAATTTGTGAAAACCGACAGTGAAGGTTTGCCTCGCTCAGATTCCACTCAGTAGTTCTTCGCCACGATGTAGAAAGAGCTTTGCATCCTTTCACCTGTAGAAAGTTCACACGCAGATATGCTTACGACATCTATTGTCAAGCATCCTGCGCGGACCTCATTCTTGTCAGGTATCATTCTAATTTTCATGGTCCTGTTCACTATGTTCTTCCTCTTCACGATCTTGGTCCCATTCACGCCAGCTTCTTCGTGATGTTCTGATGTTCGGGTCCCATACAACTACATATGAAATTTCGGCAAGTCGTGCACCGAGACGTTGTAGGCGTGCAATTGGTACGTACAGAACGATTGGAACGTCTTCCGTTGGGACTTTTGATCTCAATACCGTCGTTGCTCTCTTGTCCCATGGTGCGTAGTGATTGAAGAATGAGCTTCCTCTTGCGCCTTTGTCGCCACCTGGCAGAATTCCATGCTTCACAATTGAGGGTAGCTTTGCAAGTGTGGTAACGTGAAACTCCCACCAAGTTGGATCGCGATGTCATCTGCAATCTCGTGTGATGTTAGGCGCGGGTTGAGAATGACATCGTTTTCATTCTTGTCTGTATACGCCTTGACTCCAAGTTGTGCGACGACACAGCCCTGATTGCAATCGGCATGATCCATCGGTCCTTCTCCTTGTGACCCCTTACATCATTTGGCACAAGGTGTTTCTCTTCCCAAGATTCTCTGCTCAACTTCATGGTATCACTGGTTGACACGCGAATCGCGGCGATTTGGAATCGAACTCTGTTCTGCATCTTCTTTGAGTACCACATTGCTTGACAGCATCGTCGGTACCTCACAGCAAGAATCTCATCCAACTAACATCCTTGTCCTGCATCTCTTGTGATTCGATTCTGATGGTCATTGAAGATGCGCCCGTATGTGAGTACATCAGTGATGCTCACCCATCCTCCTTCATTGCATGGCAATCGATTGTGTGGCCTACCTGATCGTCCAACCACTGTTGCTTTTCCAATCTGGTGTCTTAGTACTTTGTTGACTCTCTTGCTGATCTCATGGACGTTGAGGTAGTCGTCGGTGTCCTTGCGGATATAGACTACGGGATCGCACATGGCTGGTTCCCCATTGGTTCTTCCTTGCCATTCCACTTCTTGACACAGAAGGTAGTACCATGCTGAGGGATGATTTCAATTGCCTGGATCGCAATTTACACGAATCTGTCGGTATGATGTCTTGCGCGCCTGCGACTCATCATCTTTCAGGTCTTCCACTTTCGGGAGTTTCGAGTTCATGGATTATGCGTTCTCGTCAACATGCCCTCAAGTGCTTTGACATCTGGTGGTCCTGACGCGTCGATTGATTTGTTGATGACCTTGAATTCGCCCCCCTCCACTTCATCGACGATTGAACATATGTCCACTGGATCGTTGAACCATGTGATGACAGCGGCATTGTCGAATGATCGTTTCATGGATTCAACGGCTTCTTCATAGTCATCTTCGCTGCTTGATGATTTTGGCTTCGACGGTTCTTTTGGTGGAGGGGTCAGTGACTCCTTGCCCAGTTGTTCAGTCTCGTCTTGCAGATCAATGTCCTCCATATATATAAAATCTGCGCCATCATCACCGTGCGCAGTCTTCATTCTCTTCTTTTCTCTTTCGGCTTGACCTCTTTTGATATTCACCTCGTCGTGATCTGTGAAGTAATATTTGAGCATCCCCTCGACGTGGTCAAAGCATTTGGTGATTTCTGCTTTGCTTGCTTGCCGGTAGCTCGAAAGTAGTTTTGTAAATTTGTGGCACTGATACGCGTGGTCGTAAGTGCCAACACTGCATCACTCCCCGCCTCCTCTCTTCCGTAGCCATTTTGGCTCAAGGCGTCTCTGTAGGCGACACTGACCTTCCTTCGCCTTCCTTGTATAGTCCATGGGATCGATCTCCGGGGACACGGGGTCAGTCTCTTGCTCATTGGGAGTCGTTGAAGGAGGTTGTCTTCCTCTTCATCCATCTTCTCATCTTCCTCCTGCTTCTCTTCTCCCTTGGGTGGTGGTGGTGCCTCCAGCGATGCCATTCGTGTGATAACTTCTGGTATTGGGTATTTGACTTCCATCTGGGACATTCACTGTCTCTCATCGACTGACGCATAGTTGCACGGAGTATTGTTTGTCTTGGTGTTGTCAGTTGTACTTCTCCGGCTTGATGCATAGAAGGTGAGAAATGACAATTCAACGCCGTGTCTGCATTCATCGATGTATTTCCAGTCGCTGAACAAAGTAGTCCGAAAGACGCCTGCTAGTTCAAAGATGCCCAGCCAAAATTCCACTGTCACCTGCAAGTTCAGAGCACCCTGTCCTTGTGGTCGATCATAAAGATAGATTGGTATTCTTCGGGCGTCAGCAAGTATTGTATGTAGTCATGGTATGCCACGTTGCCATATAGTCCATGAATGCTCTGAACCCGTAGTCT